ATCGAGGTGCGCCTGATTGAACAAAAATAGTAACACATGATAAAAAGCAGACGAAATTGTTTTCTAATGAAGATTTCTAACGTAACGAAAAAATAACAATTAAAATGATTGGGGCTTCGGAAGTCACTGTCAAGAATTGGCTTCATACATAAGACCTAACTAAATGTCTACATCACATTCACAAACTATCACAAATACTTGTGGCAGTGCTAAAAAATCTAAGAATGGAATCTAATCATATGTGTTATGAACTAAAGTAATATCTTGTTATTTAGGTGTTTTATGTTGAAACTGAAAAACTGCTAATCAATTTTTAAATTTGCTAATCAATTTTGGCAAAATTGGACTTTTTAATTAGCAGTGCTGCTAATCAACTGTGAAAAATTACCGACAGCTTGCTATAGAGGTCACAATTTATTTACCTATTTTGATGAAACTTGAAATGTAAGTTTATAACCCAAAGATCTCGGTTTCTTTCGGTATTTGCGCATTTCGGAATGTAACTTGCTGAACTATGGCTCCTGTTGTACGAAAAATCGCGATTTTAGCTTGTGGACCCTATAGAGGTCATAATTTTTATCCGATTTAGAAAAACGTTTTAGTATATCACCGTTACACCCTAAGGATGGCTGATTTCGAATTTCGTGAAAATCGGACCAAAACTGACTGACAAAATGGCCGCCCATCGTTCTCAAATAGCCTAAAAAATATGGTATATCAAGGTTGTGGATCCTATAGAGGTCACAATTTTTATCTGATTTTGTTGAAACTTGAAATGTAATTTTATAACCCAAAGATCTTGGTTCCTTTCGATATTTGCGCATATCGAATTGTAATTTCTTGAATTATGGCCCTTGATTGTAGGAAAAATCACTTTCTTTTTAGCTTGTTCTCTATCCATCTCTCGAAAATGTGGGCGTATCCTGCCTGGCAGCCGCTGGTTTATGATTTACCGGCAGGCATATCGTGGAATATGATAATGTCTATGAAATCAGCTATATATATTTTTTTGGGACGTTTATGATGCGTATACTCCAGCCGAGATTAAGTGTGTCGGTCGCCATATCTTGGATACACTTTCAGATGGGCTAAACGACAAAACGTACGGCTAATAATTCTAGACTTTGGAAATTATAAATTGAATCAAATCTTTTAGGATTTAATACAAGCTTCATAGAGGAATATTACATAGTTGAAGATTTCAACTATATATTTTTTATTTTCGATGCAATGAAGCAAAGAAGACGACAATTTCCGCCATATATCCAAAGGCAGAAATTATGTCAAATGCTGATAACGATGAAGTGACGGTCATTTGGGGCGATATTTCTTTTTAAAAGTTATATTTATATTTACTTTTAAACACATTTCTATTTAAAAAAAAAAAAAAAAAAAAAATCATAGGAGATACTTGTTCACGTTATTTTACCATTATGACTGAGAAAAGTCATAATTTTAGTGGAACCGGGACTGACTTTTCAATATTATTTATAGTAATATAATTGTTACTTTGTACAGTTGAATTTTATATCATTGGAAAGAACACGACATTCTGTACATTTTTGTAACAGAGTATTTCTTTGTATAGAAAATATATTTTTGATATTTGCAATTTCGTAGAGGGTATTAGGATTAACATTAATCCATTAATTGGCTTAGGGATATGGGTCCTGCTGATTTAATGAGCTTAGGGGTATCTGGCTAATCTTTTGATTGGCTCTAGTGTTAAATGGGTTAAAGTGTAGACTACTTATAGTTGTGTAAAATCATCCAAATTATACCATATTACATGCCAAAATGCAAAATTTTCTTTGCCCCCAAATCCCCCTAGGCTAATTTGAGGGTCAGATCTAAACAAATATGGCTGCAAATTGATGCATCGTAACCTATAGGTTACCATTTAAAATTTCAGGCAGATTAGCGTAACCAATTTTGAGGTTACCATATAAGAGGCTTATTTCATACCCTGATCTACATCAAACGCGCACTAACGCTGGAGATTAGACAATCTTCGCATGCTACCTTTGGCGTTACTCAAGCAGACATCACTAATCATCGGGTTGTTGATTAGGGAAACCCTTACATTTTTGTCCTGTATGCACTCCATGGGTGTTTTTTCAGGGAATCCAGTATTTTTCTGTTAAGATTAAATATTTCTACTTTCCATATATACCAAAATTGCTATACTTTTATTGGAAATAACCACCCAATAAATACTTTTCTGAGAAAGTATCTTTAATAGATTTTTATAGCTTGGGGTATTTCCTCACGAATACTATATTTTGAGAGGGATTTGAAGCAACATTCTGATTTAAAAAAACGTATTATTATCTCACCGTTACACCCTAAGGAAGATTGAGTTCTAATTTCGTAAAAATTCGGACAAAATGGCCGCTGTTTGTATGCGAATAGTGTAAAAATATGGTAAATCAAGGTTGTGGACCTTGTATGGGTCACAAGTTTAATTCAATTTTGATGAAACTTGAAATGCATGTTTGTAACCTAAAGATCTTGGTTACTTTTGTTATTGTCGCATATCGGATCGTAACTTCCTGAATTATGGCCCGATTATACGAAAAATTGTGTTTTTAACTTGTGGACCCTATATAGGTCATAATTTTTATCAGATTTAACAAACTCTATTATTATATCACCGTTACACCCTAAGGAAGGTTGAGTTCGAATTTGGGGAAAATCGGACCAAAATTGCCGGACAAAATAGCCGCCGTTTGTATGCGAATAGTGTAAAAATAGGGTAAATCAAGGTTGTGGACCCTGTATGGGTCACAATTTTAATTCGATTTTGATGAAACTTGAAAAGCATGTTTATAACCTAAAGATCTTGGTTCCTTTCGATATTGTCGCATATCGGATCGTAACTTCCTGAATTATGGCCTCTGATTGTACGCAAAATCGCCTTTTTTAGCTTGTGGTCCCTCTGGAGGTCACAATTATTATCCGATTTAAAAAAACGTTTGATTATATCACCGTTACACCGTAATGAAGGTTGAGTTCGAATTTCATGAAAATCGGACCAAAATTGCCAGACAAAATGGCCGCCGCTTGTATGCGAATAGTGTAAAAATATGGTATATGTCAAGGTTGTGGACCCTGTAGAGGTCGCAATTTTAATTTGATTTTGATGAAACTTGAAATGCATGTTTATAACCTAAAGATCTTGGTTCCTTTCGATATTGTCGCATATCGGATCGTAACTTCATGAATTATGGCCCCTGATTATACGAAAAAAGCCTCTTTTAGCTTGTGGTCCCTCTGAAGGTCACACTTATCTGATTTTAAAAATCGTTTGAATATATCACTGTAACACCATTATAAAGGTTGAGTTCAAATTTCCTGAAAATCAAACCAAAACTGCCGGACAAAGTGGCCGCCGCTTGTACGCGAAAGGTGTAAAAATATGGTATATCAAGGTTGTGGACCCTGTTGAGGTTACAATTTTAATCCGATTTTGATGAAACTTGAAATGCATGTTTATAACCCAAAGATCTTGGTTCCTTTTGATATTTGCGCATATCGAATTGTAACTTCATGAATTATGGCCCTCGATTGTAGGAAAAATCACTTTCTTTTTAGCTTGTTCTCTATCCATCTCTCAAAAATGTGGGCGTATCCTGCCTGGCAGCCGCTGGTTAATAAAGATCGTAGACTTGATTGCCAACTCATTAAGGATGTATACGGCTACTCGGTTAACCGGTCACGTTTCGGTTGCACTGGTGAAACGGTTAAAAAAAAAAATACAAACCGATATTCGTTTTCATATCATATCTGACCTTCAAAACCAGGAATGGTAGCCACAACGTTTTCTTTCACTAAAGACCATATGTAAATACTTCATATAGCACATGTCATTTATAATATATCACGGTAAATTAACGTCCTTTAATTCCCACTCGAAGATTTGTATACATTACGTTATTATTAGCACTTACTGTAAAGCACAAGATAGCCTCGACTGATTGACAAATTAATTGTTTTACCGTATTTATTTACCTGGTCACTCTATAATAAAGAGTCTCAAAATGAAACAAATCAGTTTAATGTGCTGATATATTAAAATAGACAGGATAGTAAAATTGTTTATATTATCACTCGAGTGCCATGCTGTGTGCCGATAGGGTCAAAGTTGATGACACACGGGTCACTGGAACCATTCATCATGGCGTGTGTGTAATTAACACGTGTACTAAATTCTTTGGAAATACCCGACATGTTAAATAATCAAAATTATCTTGTATTTGAAAATACAAAGGTAAGCTTTCAAATATTTATGTCAGAACTTGTTTTTAAATCAACCTGATTTCAACTGGTTTATACATGACCTTATACATGACCAGTCAAAGCTTGCAAGATGGAGAAATCAAATGTCAATTATGAATGAATAAAAGGGAATAGAAGGGGTACAGTAAATACTACAGAAAATCTATTCTTATGATTGAGTTTTCCTTGGAATATGAGGAATAAATGTGGGATATTTTACGGTTTATTCATCTATATCGTCACTAGTTTGAGTCACAAACCAATGAAAGGGCACTAGCCCAGGATTAGTACGGCTAAATAGATCACTAGCCCGTAAGTTATTTTTGGTAGCCCCTGGTTTATACGCAGGAAGGTATCTTTAAACTGTGTCTATTCATTTGCGGTTCAATGATTTTATCGTTGAATGATTATTTCACATGGCTGTAATTAACCACTGGTTTTCATAACCTGTTAGTGTTACAGTTACCATGAAATTCAGAAATTTATAATATAATAAGATTGAAAGAGAAAGACATTCATCTTGGGTTGTACATATAGCATCATGTCTAATTTCTTTGTCAACAGTGTTAATGAAAAGACAAGTTCCGGGCCTGCATAGCAATGCTCAGAAAGTGTGTGGTAAAATACCGAATATTATAAAAACTGAAAAAATCACATTACAAATTAAAAGATGGCAACAATGGTAATGGTTATTTTCATTTCTTAATAACAATTTATTTCAGACCCGAACTCTTTAAATCTAGAATATTGGAACTGAATGCTTCTGATGAAAGAGGTATTGATGTTGTCCGAACCAAAGTTAAAAACTTTTCACAGTTAACTGCTGCAGGATCAAGATCAGAGTAAGTAATTGTACTATATTTTTTGTTTCCCGTTTCATCATACCTTTTGGAAGACAATGAGTCTGCTTCTAATTGAGGTAGAATGTTCAAATTTAGTGTAGATGGTTATAAGGTTAATGTCTCGACCGAGTATGATAATGGGGATGTTCAGCTTAGGCTAAGTATAGATAAGCAATCACTAGGGATTTGGTATCGTTTAGAACAGGGTTTTTAGCGTTGGAAAGTATGCATAGAGTTTACTTTCAAAACATCGTTCGATAATTGATAAAAATCGTTTAAGAATTACATAAATGAGTTAGTTAGTACTATGGCTTAGTTTAATAGTAACGTGTTTAGTTTCTCCGAGAGGCGTTTAAAAATGGCCGACCCGTTCACTTATCTACAACGTTCACTTATTAGATGAGCCGTCTGCTTTCCCAAGATACGTTGAAAAATCAACACACTGTTTACTTATCTACGGCCTCTACTTATTAGACGAGCCGTTTACTTTCCCGAGATACGTTGAAAAATCAACACACGATTAATTTATCTACAGCGTTGAAAAATTAGATGAACCTTTTAATTTCCCGCTAGCCGTTTATCCGATCGGTTAATTTTTTATTACGATTATTTACATATGAAGTATGAATAAAAAAGGGGAATATAAAAAATGCACACCCATAGATGATCACCTTACCGTGGTCATAGTATTATATATTATCCACTATCCTATAAACTTTGTATTCCATCACTGACAAATAAATCAAAAATCGGTAAATGACGTCCCAGGTAATTATACAATTGGAAATCGGTAAATCACGTCCAAAGTAATGTATCTCTTTTTAAATCACAAATTAATTAACTAGTCTTCCATCTGTACACGTGTTCATAAGTCGAGCTCTCAATAGCAGTGTGATAATCTCGCAAGACTGTACATTAGACTGGCGCCAAAAAAGGTCACTGTCAATCTCTATAGACAAGCTGTCGCCCATTTTCAGACAGCGTAATTACTTGATTGGGGGCTTCTGCGCATTTTAGTTGATTATTGGGTACAGGTGTTAAATTTTGGTACTGATTCAAAATCAACATTCCCGAAAAAGAAAAGGGTTTATAAATAAAACAGAACATATATTTAGCTATGACAATTTAATAACAAAAACTAATTGTATGTATTTATATGTATGTACACTAAATACTAAAAACAATCACAAATAACAGCATGAATACTAAAAACGCAACACTGGAAAAAAATCACTGGTTTATAAATACAGAAATAGCAGCATGCACAAAAAGAAATCAAAATTGGAAAACAATTGGAAAATTGTATGTAATGTAAATGAACCATTTAAATCCTATACCACAGTCTGTTTAGTATTCAAAATAAACGCAACTTTTATGTTGTGAAAGACGTCTTTTATCTACGATTATCATATTATGTGTGAAATAGCTTTATTTATCGCTGTCTTCGTGTAGATTTTGTCATCCAGTCGGAATCTGTATGTGTCAAGTTCAACGAGTTTTAATTCCCAGAATGAATTGACCTGTCTTTTAACCATACTGTAGATTTCCGTGGTGCTGTAGTCTATGGTGCGGAGTGGTGCTGTGTCCTTGAGACTTTCGTTGGCGAGTCGAGCTGCCTCCTCGTTTCCTCTAATGTTGACATGTGATGGAATCCACACAAGCTCTAATTTGCTTCCTTCTCTAGGACCCTCTGGTAAAGCTGCCTAATTTCCAAAATGACTTCTGGTCTTGAGTCAGAGTTGTCATTTTGGATTGAAATCAGACTGCTCAGAGAGTCGCTTGGAATGACGAACTTAATAGTCTTTTGATGGGAGATCCATGATATAGCGTCACAAATGGCCACAAGCTCTGCAGTGTACACCGAACAGTTATTGGGCAGTTTCCTGCTTATTCCCTGTTCCCCGTTTGGCAGATATATTCCAATGTGTGTGCCTCATTTTGATACGAGCAGACGGTCCGAAACGAGAAGTAAAAACATGAAAGGTAAGTGACATTTTAGTGAAATTTTGATAGACTCGATTAAAATTTTTATTGGAGGCACCGATATTATGATAGTTCAACACGTTAGCGAACTAGTAATTACAAATATTAAATAATTTTCATTCATAAAATCATGTGCAAATTGTATTTTGTATCGGGTGGTTTTCGCCACTTGACCCCAAAATGGACGAGCTTGACAGTTCTCCACTTACGGATACAACGAACTATATTACTGTTGATTATTTGGTAAATCAGACCAGTATTGGTAAGAAATCAACTTTTCCCCCCAATTTATATGCTCTGTTAGTACTAAACGCTAAATTTATTATATAAAATTAATGAAATGATGTAATATATCGAATACGAGGGGAGTGAACGATAATAAGAATAGCGTTAAAGACGCCATTTAAAATGAAACGCTGTTGAATCAGTGTTTTTTTGCTTATGCGCAATAACAAAATGGCTGTTCCGTAAGTTATTGTCTCTCCCTAAACAACTCACGTTGTTATCTTTATATCTTATTTTATTTGCTATAACTATAAACAAATGAAAGGCCAAAGCCTTATATTCTGTTAGGCATGGTCAGTGTTACCTGTAACAATTATTATTAAAAGGAACATTCTTCAAGTAACGTTGTTCTAGCGAAATAAATATGGTATTTACTTTATAATTTAAATTCAAAATTGACAAAATAAGATTACGTGGGGAGTGAATAGGCTCAGTATTTTATAACTATTTTTCTGAGATATCCGTGAAAGACTTAATGTTGTCATTTACCTTCCGTTGGAACAATAGATCTATAGTTAAATTTACAAACTTGTACAACATTTACACTTCAATTCTATAATAATATATATAGGGCTTAGTCTACACCTACAGTCAATTATTTTGCACCATGCAGACATAATGAAAATAATTTATTTAACTGAAGAACATATCATATATTGACATTAAACTTTTAAATACAATTCATTAAAAAGTCCAACATTACTTGATTTATAGGAGAACACCTGTGCAAGTCAAATTCTCACCTGGCAATTAAATTTTGTAAGTTATTTGCCTTTGATTGAGCATGTCATTTCAAAATGAAATAGTGACAGCATCCATATTTGTATTTTTAATTAGATATTTCCAATTAAAAACATAATATAGAACAATTTCATTAAAATTTACTAGATTTTAATCATTATTTTTATTTTTTTTTATATTACAGGAACACACTGTTAAAAGCTTGGTATTAACTCTGAATGGATTGATATCTACAATATGACAAGTTATGTTAGACGACTTAATTTATAGCAAAATGCTAAAAACGGAGTAGAAAAAGCCAAAATTATGCAAATTAGATGCATAATATGCAAATTTAGTATGCATTAGGATAATTAACTGTCTTTTTTTTTGCATCAAATTCCCCCAACTGGCTGCACACTTAATCAGTACTACAATGTGATACGTTATGTTATGTTACACGGCTTAATTTTTAGTGAAATGATGAAAACGGAGTAAAAAAAAAGCTAAAATTAGGTGCATAATATGCAAATTTAATATGCATTATGATAATTAGCTGCCTTGTTTTTGCATCAAATTCCCCTCAACTAGATGCACATTTATTCAGTACTACAATGTGATAAGTTATTTTATGTTTGATGGCTTATTGTTAAAATAAATGATAAATTTATGCAAATTAGGTCATATTATGCAAATTAGACAGTCTAATTTGCATAAGATAAAATGTAACTTGCATATTTATTTTTGTCATCGCATACAAAAACCAATACATGGTTAAAATTCAACAGTAGTGTTTATAACTTAAGAAATATGTGAGAAAAGAAAGAAAATGGCAAATTTTATGCTAATTAGATTCGCATTATGCTAATTAGCATAAATTATTTAGATTAATATTTTCAATTTTTTTACGAATTCTTGTGATGATATATTCAATTGTTAATGTTGTAAAATTTTATTTAGATATCTTCTAAAATGACAAAGTTATAGTTTAATAACAATAAGATTCAAAATATTGTTTTAATCAAGGTGCCATTGTCCAATTACACTTAATGTTAAATGCCTATTGTTTTAAGTCTCAATTGTCTTCGAAATGTGACTTTTTTTAAGATTAAAAACCTCCATAAAATCTTAACCCCTTAATAAAATAAATGTTGAATAAAAGCTTGGAATCTCATCTATTATAATATTGTGTTCATTATTGTGTTTGTGTAATTATGATTTTCTGACTGAACTCCCTACCTATAGAGGTCATAATTTTTATCTGATTTAAAAAGCCGTTCAATTATATCACCGTTACACCCTAAGGATGGCTGAGTTCGAATTTCATGAAAATCGGCCCGAAATTGACAGACAAAATGGCCGCCGTTCGTTCTCAAATAGCGTAAAGGTCATAATTTTTATCCGATTAAAAAAAATGTATTATTATATCACCGTTGAACCCTAAGGACGGCTGAGTTCGAATTTCGTGAAAATCGGCCCAAAACTGACAGACAAAATGGCCGCCATTCGTTCTCAAATAGCGTAAAAATATGGTATATCAAGGTTGTGGACCCTATAGAGGTCACAATTTTTATCCGATTTTGTTGAAACTTGAAATGTAAGTTTATAACCCAAAGATCTTGGTTCCTTTCGATATTTGCGCATATCGGACCGTAACTTCCTGAAGTATGGCCCCTGATTCTACGAAAATCGCGTTTTTAGCTTGTAGATTTTTTTAGCTTAGGTGTGGGATCCAAGGAATAAAGCCAGTCTTTTGTCAGAAATTTAAAGAATTTGTTGTGAAAAGAAATGGGGTTTAACGTCCATCTTTTATGCATCGACTGGACTAATACAGTGTTTTGTGAGTGAAATTTTCCCAAACTGCGGTAATACGGCCGACTCTTATTTTGAATCCCAAGGGTTCTTGTACGTGCACGCCAAATTATTTTTGTAACATTTGAAGGACTGTTTACTGTTCCTTGACAGGCCCTTCGTCTTGTCCCGACAAAGTGAAACACCACATCGAAAGTCCA